TATCAGTCTCAGATATTCATCTCATAGTCTTATAGAATTGTTCACTAGATATTTCATCAGCATGTTATTCAGAATTTTATACAAGCATTTCATCTTTCTATTCATCTAGAAGTGATATAACATTGTTCCATAATATCTTATCTGTAACTGATATATGAAATGTCTTACTACTTCTTCTACAAAATTCACACTGTTGTTAGTTAGAATCTCATGCAGTATTTCATAGTTAATATAGATCTCATTATGTAAGAACTTCATTACTATCTTCTCAGTCAACTCTGAAACTGCTTTCACTACTGATCAATCAGTAGTGTAGATGATAGCAGTAATTATTTAATAATTTTAATTTAATGTTTACAGTAATATGTTCTAACAAGTATTACAGATAATATTTCAAAGAAAAAGTCTTCTGAGTTTTTCAAACCTTGATGAAATGAGAAGATCATATCTAAAAGAAAACAATTAATCACTGCTAGAAGAGATTAAAAGAATGATGTAATATATGATAAAGAGTTCAAAGCTATCAGAAATAAATATTTTTCAGATATTAAAAGAGCTAAAACAGACTACTGAAACAAATTTCTTAAAGAAGTATAAGAAAAAGAAGTTTTTAAAGACTTCAATCATATTAAAACAAGAAGTGTAGCAAAACTTTCAGTCTTAGAATATAAGTTTCAGAATGAATCATATACAGTAAATTCTTTTGAGAAAAAATGTCAAGCTTTCATGAGAATTCTCTTTCAAAACTCATCAGATTCAGACTCAGAGAAAGAGAATATATTACTTTATAACTATATTGATGAAAATGACTGAGAATGATCTGAACTTATACAAGATGAACTAGAGTTAGCTATCTTCTCAAGTTCAATTAAAACTGCTACAGGGCCTGATTAAATCAATTACTTAATCATTCAAAATATATATTTTTACTTGAAGAATGAATATTTTAAGCTCTTTTTCAATCTCTTGAAAAATGATTATTATTCTGAATGCTGAAGAGAAGTCACTCAAGTGATCCTTATAAAATCTAATAAAAAAGCTTTAATTTCTAAGTTATATAGAGTAATATCTTCATTGAACTGTCTGAAAAAGATTTTAGAAAAGATAATAGCTACTAGACTATCTTTTATAAGCTCTATTAGTAATTCTCTTCTATTCAGTGAATAAATAAGAGATAAAAAACAATACTTTATAATTAACACTATTCTCTCAGTTATTCATAACATTTAAATAGTAAAGTATGAAGATATGATCTCAACTTCAGTTTTTATTGATATAAAAGATATATTTAATTATGTTTCAAAGTCAAAGATGATTCAAACTTTAAAGATATTAAAACTATCACTTTCTCTAATAAAATAAGTGAACTATTTTATATCTAAAAGAATTATATAACTATTCTTTGATGAAATGAAATAAGATAAGACTGAGATAAAAATAGAAGTACTATAAGAATCTTCAATCTCATCTGTTTTATTTATAATATACACTGCATATCTATGCAAGAATAGAGAGATGAAAGTAGTGAGATCTTTAAGTTATATAGATAATATTAATCTAGTCTACAGTTCAAAAATAATTAAAGAGAATTTAAAAGTGATTGAAAAAGTAGTAAAGAAAATCTTTGTTAGAGTAGATATCAATCTAATTGAATTTAATATTGATAAAACTGAGTTAATTCACTTTTTTTCTAGATTCAATGAGAAGAAACTAAGTCAAACTCTTTTAAATAAAGAGATTAAACTCAGTTTGAATATCAAATGACTAGAAGTATAGTTAAACTTCAAGTTTAATTTTAAATATTATATTCAATAAGAAACTATCAAGACAGAGAGACTACTGAATAGTGTAATTAAACTATTAAATGCAGAGAGAGATCTATTCTTCTAGACTATGAGATAGTTATATATAGTCTGTATTATCTCAGTAGCTGATTATGAAGTTCAAGTTTAATGAAATAATCAATAAAATTTCATTGAACTCTTTCAAAGTCTGTAAAACAGAGCTTTGAGAAGAATTCTGAGAGTATTTAAATCATCTTCTATTAAAGCAATGAAAATTGAAGCTTTAATTCTCTCATCTGCTATTAGATTTGAAAAGATCTGTATGAACTATACTCTGAGAGTTATAAAGATAAGCTTAAATTATATAATCAGAGAAAGAATCTCTTCTTCATTTTCATTAATTAACTCAGAAAATGAACTGAATTGAAATAGATTTCTTGATTAGAATAAAAATAATTCTTCAAAGAAAATACTCTCTTAATTATACAGACTATACTCACTGATTAAAAATCAATTTTCTTTATTAAATCTTGAAAAAGTTAATCATGAGAAGATATCTCTCTGAAGAGAAAAGCTTGAATCTCTCAGAGACTTATAAGTGAACTATCTAAAGAGAGAGAATATAAACAGAATTTGAAGAGAATCTCTATAATTAATATAAAAGACTCTATTCTGATTTACTCAGATAGCTGAAAAAATGAGAATTTAAATAGATTAGATACAGATATTACTTATACTGAAGATAATATTAATTTTATCTCAGATTTCGGAAATTTAGACTGTGAATCTGAAGTCTTTGATACTGAACTATTTGTAATAGTAAAAGCTTTCAAACTTATTGAAATAAAATCTTATAAAAGAGAAAATAGTTTAAAAGAGATATGAATATTCTCTAATAGTTAAGCTGCTTTAAAAAGACTTAGAAATAGTTAGATTTATAATAATTAAATGAATCTTGAACTGATTTAAAACTCTGTTTTAAAAATTTAAAAAAGAAGAATATTAAAACTGATAATTCATCTACACTAAGTTTCTATTTATATGAATGTTCATGACAATGAATTGACTAATTCAATTGTAAAAAAAAATTCAGAGTTAAGCAGATCTATTCAAAAAACAGTATTCTTGTCTTTTATAAAGAGAAAGATAAAAGAATGTTATTTAGATAAGTGAAATAAAAGCTGACAGAAATAAAAGAAGAGTATATAGTATTTTAAGATTTGAAATAAAACTCAAGTGAAAATCTTGTTTAATTAAATATAAAAAGAAAATATTCTCATCTATAATTCAGCTGAAACTAGAACATAATTATTTCAAATCTTATATACAAAGATTTGATAATAGATTTGATTTAATAGAATGCTCATTCTGCAATGCAAATGAAAATTCTGAGTATATTATAATATACTATACACTATACAATAGTGTCAGAGTCAGATTGAAAGAGAAGTATGATGTAAATCAATTAAATATAAGATTCTTATTCTCAACTGAGATAGAAATTAAATACTTAATAGACTTTCTATCAGAAACTCAAGCAGCTATAAGAAAATAGCTAAATTCAGAAATATCTGAATATGAAGAGGAGAAAATTAATCAGATATAGTCTGTTAAAATAGCTATATACTATCTTTTAATAATTTGTTTTATTATAGTCTCTCTTTACTTTACTTTTTCTTTTCTTTTTTATTCTTTTCTATCTACTTATTTAATGTGTCTATGTTTAAGACTTTATTCTCTTTTCCTTTGTCATGATATTTTCAAATGATTTCAAAGTATCAGAAGATATTAAAATACTGTAATTTATAAAGAGTTTTTATATTCTGAGCTGGAATTTTCTGATTTTGCATATCTGAAATTGATAAATATATAATAGTTAACTCTATAGATATTAGAAAAACTCTGAGAACTTTTAGTTCTCAGATAGATGTCATAGTCTATGACTGTATACATCTATAATTCAAGAATAATAATAATAATAATAATAATAATCTCACTGTTAATTTTTCAATTTTTTAATAGTAGATTCTGCATCTCACTCATGAATCACTTGATAACTCACATAGTTTCTCTTTTAACTTTAATCTGTATATTAATCTGATCAAGACTGTTTACAGCTGTATTCAGATTTTGAATATTTATATCAATATTCTCTGATATTGAGTGTTTTTTTCATATGATTGATATTTCTACAATCTGATAAATTTATTGTAAAAAATAATGAACTTTCTTCAGTTTCTGAATCTGTTACAGTAAATTCTCTCATTTTAAATATTATTATATAATATTTAATGAAAATCTAATCAGTGATAAGTCTGTTATTAAACAATTCTTCAGTAAGCTTTTAAAATTCAGAGTTATATTTTTAAAAGATTTCAAGATTAGAATGTTTAAAAAAATACTTATTTATAATTTTTTTAATATTAATATAAGTTTTATATCTGTGATTATATATTCAGCTGAATATCTGATTTTTATATCATATTTAAAATATTTAAATACATTTTTTTTTCTTTTACTGATTATTACATACTTCTTTGATTATTATCTGAATTATTAACTGCTTAACAGTTTGTATAATAAGATTTCAACTCACAGATTTAAAGTTGCTATTATCTGTATTCAATTCTTTCTTTTTCATCTTCAAGAGTTCAGTAAACAGAGCTTTTTTCATTGTGAAACTTCATAATATTCTGAAACATCTGATTTAAGAAGTAAGTGTTTACTTTCAAAAGACAGTAGATGTTTGATAAGAGACTGTTTCAGAGCATGTTTGAGAGAGTGTTTAAAAGAGTGTTCGAGAGAATAATAATTAAGAATCTGATTATTAACTCAGTGAGATTGAAATTGTAGAGATTTGAATATTATCATTCTTCACATTCAGATATTGTATTGAGATATCATACTGTGACATTCTTGTTCACTGCTTTCATGAATTCTAGCTAATAATGATGGTTAAATATAGACAAATCAATCATAGATATGAGAGAATATGATTTCAATGTGTCCGCGTTGATGAATGTGAAATTAAAAAAAGCCAGTGTGAAGTGATCTCAATTATGGAATAGCATGGTGGTGCAATGCCGGCTTGCTACTAATAATTGATAAATACACTATTTTTAATGAGATCCACTATTGCGTTCAAAAAGTACGGACGCACCGAACAGGCCCTTAATGGTTTTTTTTCGTCCGAAACCGGGACGAAGAAAACATCGGTTAGGGTGAATGAATCGTTGCAAGCGGGCCAAAATACCGGGTAGAATCCATCTGTGTTGGCAAAAGGATTCGTAGCTCCTTTGTCCAGTTCAAGTACCTACAAACAGGATAATTAGACATTATTAGCTATCACTTGTATGTTGGTCACGTACAGTGCACCAGAACTTAGCATCACTTCCACCGCCCCTTCAGAATCAGGACCAAGAATGCGATGCACCGCGTGGAAGGCCCGGATGATTTCCTGACAATACCATGAGTTTAACCGGTTTTCAGGCGCCTTCTGCATGGTGATGACGAAAACATTGCTATGGCTGGTTAGCGAGAGGGTGCGGAACTTGGAGATCTCGGTCATCTTTTCCAATATATTCTGGAGAGTGCAGTCGCGCAATAGAGAGGAATGCTGTGAATTACAGGACACAGTATTTGTTGCTTGCCATGATGAAGCGAATAATATTAACCGAGCTATTGAATTTCTCCTCCCCGCATTCCCTCTTAGTTCTTAAACAAAGACTAGTGCCGGGGCCTGCTGGTTCTGCGGATTATGGGGTAGGCATTTTGCCGAAGTCCCGAAATGCCGAGCACACTTTGCCGGTGAAGGAGCAGAAATGTGCTCGGGGATTAAAATAACCCAACAATCCCCAAACTAGAGAGAATATTTAAGTGCTGTGAGTTTATACTTATTTTTCTCGTACACATTACTTTGAACGCATACTATGGGCAAAGTGTGGGAATCAGACATACTTTCACCAAGCAATATCGCTATTCCAGTCCCAATCTTTCAGCAGCCAGTTGCCGATCCCTGCGTATTGGCCACAAATGATATCATCAGTGATATCCGTAGTTTCCCCACCGGTTGTGCTGTGCATCTGGTGGTGCTCAAGAATGGTGGCTAGGGGTAGGTACCCGTCCAGGGCTGCGAGAGTACTTATTGGCGTTTTCAACTTTGCTAAAATCCCGGCTGTCATCATATCAGAGGCGCTGCGTGAGAATTGGTCATCGTCGAGTCTTCGTGGATCCAATAGGTCTTGAATGTGGGGTGTCAAAATGGCTTCTCCAAGCCGACACAAATCCGTTGGAAAGCCGTTGAAGCACGTTAGTTGCTCAGGGGTGAGACTCCCAATCAGCTGTGTCTCCTCGTATCGTTGGTTTTTGCTTGCCTCCTCCTTCATGCCCCGTAGCGCATTTAAACCGCCGATTGCAGAAGGCCACCTTGTTGAGAGTTCTTTTTGAGAATTGTATATTATGCGGAGATCCTGTTCAGCCTTGGCCCACAGGCGGGGGTAGCGGAAACAAGAAAGAAGGCCAACTCCTGAGGCCAAAAGATAGAAGGTAAATACAGGGCCTAGGAAGCAAATTTCGTCTCGAGCTAAGAAATCCTCAAAAATTCCTGCGACGAAGGATGACGCGAGCACTGCTGCTGGGGAGGGTGTGCTCGCAGGCGGAGTTGATCGAAAGAGAATGGCGAGGATTATAAAATACAGAACGTGTAGCTGGCGTGCTTCGAAGCTGTACGGTGCTGGTACTAACTTTGGGGAGGTGCCATTGTTTGAGCTTGCATACCGGAAGAGATGTAGATGGTCAGGGAGTTCTCGAGTCCAACGATAAAGCGCACCTTCGATATACTGACGTTTTTGGCGTGATAGATATGTGCGGCAACAGCACTGAGTTAGATCGCCTAGTAGCGAGGCCAATTCTACGTATGAAATAAACATTGGGCCGTCTGCAGTTGATCCATAGAAGTCTTCGTTAGAAAGCGATTTGACGTCGCAGTCGTCAGGATTAATAGCGCGAGGCCTTCCGTGACTTGCCGAGATTAAACAATCTCTCGCCTGCAAGGGAACGAGTTAGCTGTGGCGTACTATCATTTAAATTGACGAGGGAACATTTGTGTCTACATAAATGCCCCGATTTAGGATGTTTGGGGACAAAGAGAAAAAGGATATCCGCTCACGTATAAAGTCCACCACAATCGTCGACGAAGGGCTGCATTCCGTCCAGGAGGAGGTTCCTTATGCAATCCAATCTGATACGCCAGACCGACACCAATGCGATTCCAGAAGCCGCTGGTGTTAAGAGATATATGTTCCGGCCCTTCAGGGTTATACCAGTGCATTACCAGTACGGCGGTAATGACGGTGATCGTATTTTTTTCATAGCCAGACCAGAACAAAGCCTTGGCCCGACGGTAGAACTCGTTTGGCGAAGCATACGCTGCCACCGCTGGAGCAGATGACACTCTGCTACCCGCGAGGAACACCGCTTGCAGGAGTAGCAATGACGGTTGGTTCCCATAACGTTCAGTTAGCCAGCTTCGCTCAACAATGGGCATCCACGGCGCACAGCGCTTCATGAACGTGTCTATTAGGCCCTCTCTAACAGCCCGCGGTGGTAAGTCAAACGCGTGCTGTAGCTGCAAAACACGAATATCCTCCTCTGTCAAACTCTCCGTCGCGACTGCGGGGTAAGACTTTGCCTGGTCTTCGTTGATGGGGACCTCACCGCCTAGATATTCTGATCGGCCTAGAAAACTTGAAGCGCTGGGGCTCTCATCGTATGAATGTACATGTGGTAAAGGAACGCTGGACGTTGTGTTCGTGTAAAGAGTTGCTTTGTCTGGTTCACGGAGGATGGTTGTTGGTGCAGAAAAACCGGGATTGGGAGGAATTTGGCTTAGGGAAGGCTCTGCAGCTTCTGACGGGGGAGCTCCAGTGATAATGCTAACACGCCTAGAGGCATTCCAGCCCGTCACTTTCGAATCCCAAGCGGGCTGCTTTGGCGACGAGGGTTGAGACATGTCATGGCTCCCATTCGCAATAGGGCTACCCTCTTTGACCTTTGTGGTGGTAACCTCACGCCGCTTTCGCTTCCGTTCCCGAGGACTAGACAGCAATCAGCAAATAAGACCCTACAAACCATATGTGTTGTAAAGGTAGGTTTGAGGCACGCACGAGCATTCCCAGCGATTGCGGGAGCAGTTCAGGCATTCTTTACTGTGTTCGGGATAGACGCAACGAATCTGCTCACGCGGTTTGCAGGTGATGTTAGAGCCCGAAGGGATATCCAAAACTAGGCTTCTCCCCCGGAGGATTTATAGAACGCCTTTGAATTGCATAGTGAATGGAGGATGTGAAGAGATACCTTTTTCATGTTACAGGCCAAACATGCGGACGCTGCACGAAGCCGGGATGGACTGTGGCCCGCTTTGCCTAGAACCGCCGGTGGCATCTGTGACTGCGCACTCATCATCCTGCAGGGTGGTAGTATTTCATAGCGATCGATATAGATCACATAGAGGTGTATGCGTACGTGCCGAAACTAAGTGTTAATAAACGACTGGAATGGGCTGGGTAGCGAGGAGGGAGATAGTTGATTTGTAGTCCGGTGTTGGTTTTAAATACATAAATAGACGTCGTCGGGTCACAATCTCCATTTCCCGAGATAGAACTAAATATGCGGGGGATGGGAAAAGAGGCTAGCCAGGAGATTGGAGACTACTGCAACCTAACCTATGTCACAGTTGACATTGATGTTTACTTTTAAATTTTATTGGGAACAGCGAAGGAATTCATTCAATGTTGAACTTAAATTAGGATTAATAAAAACTGATTATCACCATAGTAATTGACAAGATGATATATTATTCCATATGTTTCGTCAATGTCGCCCGGTTTTCAATGGGTAAGTGCCATTCAACAAGCTGGTGTAATCCAGAAAGCAGTGAGACAAGAACCTAGTACGCCTGGCAGATCGATCGCAACTTAATGCAGACAGAATATTTTTGATATAAGCACATCTTCGGCGCAACCGCAGACAAAGAATGAAGGACTGGGTTGTAATTTGACATCCGTGCTAAATAAACACCAGATTCCCAACTTGGATGTCTGGGTTATATATACATATGCCCCAGAATTGTTGCACGATGGTAATGAAGAGACGGATATATAGAATGGTAGAATGGTTAGTTAATTAAAATGGCGTTGAGAGGGATTATACAAACGGAAAGTATTAGGGTGATAGTTATATATCTGTATATCCGGAATAGAAATTACACCGCGGTGTATCTGGCCGAAATTGGAAAAAAAAAAAGAAAAGAAAAGAAAAGAAAAAAGAAAGGAATGGTCGTATTCGTCATATCCTACAGCTCCTGGTGTCCCGAGATGGGTGGCGGAGAAGGGCGAAAACTTCCTTTCTTAACCTGCTGGAACGCGAGGTCGAAGCGGGCTCCCATCAGCCATGCGGCAAAGATCTGCGAGAGGCGTCAGTGTATAGACTAGAAAGGCTTTGGTGGTGGAGCAAATGTGTGAATATACCATAATTCCCGTAAGGACAGCCAGAATACCGAACAAGGCAAACATTATGTAGATTGTGTCTTGTCGGGCTTCGGCCTCTAGGCGAGCTTGTTCTGCCTCTTCGGGGCTCGGTTCCTGATTGGCCTTCCGTTGGGCGTACTCAGCGGTTTGGGAGGGGAAAATAGATTCGATGAATGCTTCAACCTAGAAGGTGACGAAAAAAGGACCATTGGTTAGGCATAAACCAAATCGGCCAATTCGGGGGACAAAACAACATAGGAGTCTGACTAACCTTCCCACACGCAACACTGATTTTTAGGAAATTAGGGTCCTTGGGAGTATTCTTCTTGTGAATTTTCCGAACGTATTGTCGGAAAACATCACAAATAGCACGAACATTTTGAGTGGACTGGAACATGAGGTGGCAGGCGGAACCTTTCGTGATCTTGACATTCCGCTCAAAGATGGCATCATTGCGGAAGCATAGTTGAAGAGTCGCGATGGCCATCGACTGGGGGATGGCGCAGAAATTAAAGACACTCTGTTCCTTCAGGCCAGCGAGATAGAAAAGACATTCATCAGCGTGCTCAAGAGCATTCAGAATCATTTCCGAGTTACAGTTTAGGGCTGCCTCTTTGTTTTCGGGTTTGAAGAGGTCTTCGAACTCGTCGACATGTTTGGACCAAATCTCCCTTGGCCAAAAGCACCTGTTGTCCACATAATCCTCTTTCACATCACGGATGATGTTGGTCTTCTGAAGAAACAAACCCATTGAAATAAAGAGTTCAGTGCGTTCCAAGAGGGCCGGGTTAGCAAATCCAGCCTCCACGAACAGCCTTGTGAGGCCCTCACCAACGATTCCGGCAACGTAATAACAGTACAGATCGTATTCTTTCACAGTCTTGACCTTTGCTGTGTCCAACTCGGCTCTCCTGCAATAATCCGCCATCCCACTTCCCATTTTCTTGGTGATGTCTTTTATAATGGTTCGGTAAGCAGGTTTTATCTTCTTGAATTCAGTAACGACGTTGTGGAACTGAACCAGCAGCTCACGGTCTTTCTCCTCGGGCCGATTGCCATTGAATGACCAGCCATCTTTCTCCAAGATATTGTGGAAGTCGCGGAGAAGCGGTTCCTTTGTTTGTAAAGGGATTGAGGTGTCATCCTCGATGGTATCCAGACCGCGGAGGACCAAATAAAACAGGCAGACAGGGAGAAGCAGTTCAGGATGCAGCTCCATAATAACGGCGCTGAAGCTTCTGCTGGTAAATTTTAGGAAATGGAAACATTGCTTCTCCGTTTCGGACGAATTTTTCTCATCTCTCTCGTGGACGGGGTTATGCCACACCTTCCTACAGCATCAATTAGCATAGGAGGATGAGGTTAATGTATGCATGGCGTCCTTTCTCAAATTGCACTAAAGGGGGCTGGCTCAATGGAGTGGGATGTCATGGTGTGATCATAATGAAGGCTTCGGTTAGGGCTAAGGACTGGAAGAAGGAGGGGAGTATACAAAGTACCATTTCGGAATAGAATAGACAGAAATGAGAGAAGCACCCAGAGGAGCTTACCATTGGATGATTGACCTCAGCTCTTGAGGGTGTAGAAGGTAATATATTGGAGTTGTGAAGCCAACCATGGCGGCGGCGGGGGGAGAACGAGAACGAAAAACGACGAGGAAAAGAAGAGAATAGAGCGAAAGCAATCCAGGTACGAAATTGAAAGAAGAGAAGCAACAAGAGTAGAGGGGAAAACGCAATATATATCACATAGAAGAAGAAGAAGAAGTGAGAAGGGGGGCTGGGGGAAGAATTCTTAGGGGGATAGTTATTTTCGACTTATTTGCTAAAGTTAAGGGATGAATAGTTAGTTGTTTTATATATCAGCACGGGTTATTCTTTATCCGCAAGCGCCAGCCCGAGCTTCGGCGGTACTGTTATTCCGATATTCCGGTCCAAAAGAAGACAAGGCTGTTAGCTAACACATGGCCCTGCTTAGTAACACAGCTCAGCCACTCAAAAGCAGCTAGTCCAAACAGGCAAGCGGCGGCAGAACTTGGTATGACATCGCCAGAAAAACAGTTATACAAATCTTCGGTAGGCAAAAATCATTATCGCCATTTTTGAGTCGCCCTTCCGCTGTGTTTGTCTGTCTGTCGCTGCTGAGCCCCGTTTGACTCTTTATTATTGGTGCTGTTGTTTGCATATAGTTTATCCATATATCCCCCCCTTCCTTTTGGTGTTTTCTATTCGGATTCTATTCTTCATAACCCCCCAAACACCCCTCTGATAACCCTCTCCCCCCCCCCCCCCAATCAGGGTTTCCCTCAAATAAGCAGCTAAAAAGGAAGAATCGGCTCTGCCCCGTCGTTGCAGGTGCTGGCCGCTTCAGTATGGTGGCAGATACCGCCTACTATGATGTCTTGGGCGTCCCGACAAATGCGACAGAGATACAAATTAAAAAGGCATATAGAAAACTAGCCATCACCACTCATCCGGGTTAGTTCATTTCGCTTTGCTTTTCCCCTCCTCTTATCTTTACTCTCTTCTTACTCAAAGTGATCAAATAGACAAGAATCCCGGAGATGAAACTGCCCATGAACGATTCCAGGCGGTACTTACATATAAATAACCCCTTGCTCTTTGCTTCTCTTACCACGCCCTCCCTCCACAATGATGCGAATAAGGGTGTTGTTATTCTAACCGCCATTTTTTCTCCAGATCGGCGAAGCCTATCAAGTCCTAAGTAATGAGCAGCTACGAAAACAGTATGATAAGTTTGGTAAAGACCAAGCGGTGCCCGATAGCGGGTTCGGTGAGTACTCCTTTTGCACCTGGCTCGCCTCATCTTAAAAGATGGGTTCATCTAACACACAATCGCAGAGGACCCCGCGGAATTTTTCAGTATGATCTTTGGAGGCGGTGCCTTCATTGATCTTATTGGCGAAATTTCCCTCATGAAAGATATTACGCAGACCATGGATATCACTATGCAGAATGAAGAGGAGGATGAACAAGCAGAACAAGCAGAGCTGGCGGAGGCAGCAAAGGAAAAACTCCATGTACATGACAAACCTCGTCCGGAGCATTCATCCCAAAAGACAAGCGGAAGCACTCCCCCCCCCCCTCAATTCACGGATCAGAAGGAATCCACGAGTGTCCCGGAGCTGAAAGTTCTTTCTACCGATGTCCCCCACCAATCAGGTCCGAGCTCCGGCGCCAATACTCCTCGTCGCTACCTAGGCCAACACGCTATCATGGATCGATCGGATGAGGATGTGAGGATGGAAAGTATTTCGGCAGAAGAGAAGGAGCTGCGGAAGAAGGAGAAGAAAAAGGGCGGCCTCACCAAGGAACAGCGGGAACGCCTAGCGGCTTTCGAAATGGAAAGAAGACGTCAGCGGGAAGAACGGATCAACATTCTTTCCCAGAAACTCATTGACCGCATTAGTATCTGGACAGAAACCGACATGGGACAGGATGTAACGCGCGCGTTTGAAGAGAAGATTCGTCTAGAAGTCGAAAACCTCAAAATGGAATCCTTTGGACTGGAAATCCTCCACGCAATTGGCACGACCTACATACAAAAGGGCACAGCATTCCTGAAATCCCAGAAGTTTCTAGGCATCTCTGGTTTCTGGTCGAGGCTGAAGGACAAAGGCACCTTGGCAAAGGAAACATGGCACGCCGTTTCTACAATGGTCGATGCCCAGATGAGTGCGGAGCATATGGCGCAACTGGAGGAACGGGGCGGCGAGGATTGGACTGATGAGAAGATGGCAGAACAGGTCAAAATTGTCACAGGGAAGATGCTTGCAGCTGCGTGGCGTGGAAGTAAATTTGAGATTCAGAGCGTCCTCCGGGATGTGTGCGATAAGATCTTGAACGATAAAGGGGTTCGGTTGGAGAAACGTATCGATCGTGCTCATGCTCTCGTTCTCAGTGGGAGGATATACCAGTCGGCACGTTCCCTCTCTCTCTATATGCTCCCCCTCAGTCATACAAACATCCCTACAAATTTTTATGTGGTGCGTGCACTGACATATCGATATGACCATAGGCTAAACGTACTCCAGAAGAGGAGGGTGATTACATGGCCTTCGAACAGTTGATGGCGGAGGCTACTGCTAAGAAAGCCAAGAATGAGAAAAAAAGGGATGGTAAAAAGCCAAAGACAGAATCTGCTAGCGATACTCAAGGACCTTCGGAACAGGGTACGTCAAACTGATGTTGCCATTGGACGGAGATGAGTTGTACCTGTAATTAATGGGTGCGTCCAAGGGAACTTTCCTCCTCTTTGCTGCGGTGTTTTCGTTGATAGATATACATTTTTCACGATCGTTTGCCCCTTTACCCTTTTTGTTTTCACATACGGCTCCCAACTCAGCGGCTTGGCATTTACTTGTTGAACACTTGAGATGTATTGTATCTATGTAGAGATAAGACGATATTAATCATAAACTGAATTTGAACACATTTGTTTGTTTTTTGTTTTTATGTTGCATTTTAGAAAATCGCGAAGCAATGGTATATTTCGGGTATCACTGGAGTGGAGGAGAGCAAGAGACCGGTATGTAAAGCTCTACCAATATACACTGTTGGGAAGGGGGACATCCAGCGTCCGACACCAAATCCAGACCGCACGCCAAAACTAGGGAAAAGAAAACAAGTATCACATAAAAAAATAGCTTCGACGTAGAATCTCGTAGATAAATATGCGCAGACAGACCGACTTAAGAGCCACCGTTAGGAATGGGTTAATACACGAAGGAGAAGGCAACGCGCTGAGACAATGAGAAGGGCACATAAAAGTGTGAGTCTAAGTGCTTCGGTCTATGACGCAACAAGACAAAGGAAATGGTAGTATGCATGGAATAATGGTTAGTCCGAGTCTGGTAGCCTGATGTCGGACGGAGAAGGGTTCGGGGGCCGATATAGTTCAGCCACCCCTGATGTTGGGCTGAGCAGGCCACGGCGACCTTCCGCTTCTCCCTCTAGTTCATCAGGTGCAAGCACTCTGCCGCCAATATCAATGTCACTGACACGGACATGATAGTCCAGGGCTTTTTTGCCCTCTTGGATCAGGCTTTCTGTCCACCCTAGGCAGCGCTTGATGCTTTGATTCATCTTTTGGCTGTTGATAAGAAGTTGTTGATGTTTCCCAAAGTCCAGGATAAATCGCTTCTCATCTCTAATTCGATGTTTTGCGTCGTTCCCGGTTGGTTCATTCAAGGTCGCAGTCTCGTCATGGGAACGTGTTGACCCATTGTCGCTGGAGGTTGAAGGGTCCTGATCCGAGTCCTCGGTCAGTGATATATCACTAGGCTCATCATCTGTTGAGCCAACAATGGAAAGGGTCCGTCCGGGGGCGGACAGAGTAGACTCAGTCATGGAGAAGCGGCCAGATCGGGTCAGCCGGCGGTAGCGACGTAGTTCAGCGCTCTGTTTCCGCAATTCCCGTTCAAGAATGCGGTTAATTGCTAACAGGGACGAATTGCTGATCTCAAGATCAAGGACCTTACGCTCTCGGCGAGCATTTGATGCTAGTTCATTTATCTTATCTATATCAGCGTTTCGAGGCGGGTCCTCCCTGGCTGGGCTATGATTGCCAGACATGGAAGGATATGTGGGGGCATCTATAGATTCTGAAGAGCTGCCACTGACAACCCTCGCCCGTTTGTCGCGCGAAATTGAACTTGGCGAAGGCAGCTGGCTTGTGGATGGGAGATGCGAACTTCCGTGTACAGTTCCTAGCAGATCGTGTTTCCGGTGTCTCCCATATTCCGATGTGTCCATACTTGAAGATTTTGTGTGGGAAGGGCGCCTCGTGGCGCTGTTAAATACGCAGGTGTACTCAGGTTGGGTAGGTGACTGTTGGTCTCGCCGGGCGTCTAGGCCTGGGAGTAGTGTGGGATTCGGACTTGCGGGCGTCCGGTCATGTCGGAGTATTTGGGAATCTCTGGGTAACGTAGTTGATATATAGGGTTGTTTCGATCGTGACGGGGCCGAAAGGTCCGGTTGTCTGAGTGAGGCTACGCGAGCAGCTTTGTCCGACGGCGTAGCAGCCCTTGGTGGTTCACGATGTGAACTGCCAGTGGTGGTGCCATCAGCATAGAGAAAGGTGGTTGGTGCGGGTTGATTATGTAGAGACCCTGGCCGGTGGTCAAGATCGCTTGTGGACGGTGGAGACCTAGTATCGTCCGCATGAAAGAACATAGACAAGGCACCGGAACTACCACAGGATGAGGTCGGGCGGGATGTCGGGGTAGGTAGCTGCATCTCGTTTGCTACACTCCTGGCTCTCGCTAGTCTTGGGATCGATATAGCAGGATTATCACGTTTCGGGGTGTGGTTGTGTGGGGATGCAGGTTGGTGGACATCGTTGATAGCTGGAAATAAGGCATGTTGAGAGGCTGGAGACGTTTCCGCTGGCGAAGCATTTCCGTCCCGCCTGGATAGTCGTAGCCCCGATCTGGGGGTTACATTGGCGCTCAAAAGGGAGGAGGAGGTTGGAGTCGAAGTTGCGGGCCGGGAGATTCCGTTTCGCTGTTGCTGGGTGGATTCCGTATACACGATATTGCGTGTAGTGCGGGTGGGAGTATAGCCTGCAAGCTTAGGAGTCAAAGGGTTTTTTGTGGCTCGAAACGTAGAACTCATTGTGGGCGTGAAGGGCTTGGCCTGTTGGCCGCTGGGGTGTTTATTCGAGGCCATTTTTGCGGGACCGAGTCGAGGGTTCGAGGGAGGTGCGCGCAATAGTTGGTCGCGCATTATGACATCGTGAGGATCTGGATAGAGAGGAGACCATGGTGGCCGGGGCCAAAACAGTATCAGACGCGTAGATATGTACCAAAGCCCGAGACCAGAACCAATGAGCAACTGGGAGGTGATGTTTGTCGATGTTGTTGATGTTGATGTTGTTGGGCGGTGTCGGATGGTGATGCTGCTGGACGGGAAAACATGCGGCTAAAAACGTCCTAGCGCGGAATCATATCATAACGGCGATAAGGGTCTGCTGACTCAGCCCACGGGAGAACAGAGCGAGCATGTCGAATCTGAACATGAAGGATTTTTTTGGATCGTAGAAAATATATTTATCTTCGTAGCGTCGTAAGAGGCAAGCTATGTAAAAGTAGTATTTACAGAATTCTAGTAGAAGAATCGCAAACAAGGCTATGCGAAGGATGATTGATAGCAAGTGATATTCGAATGTGACGGCCACTTTCACGTAAAGAATGGTCGTTTTCTCACGTTCTCTGCGGCGGTATCAGCAGGATGGTCAGTCTTGCGTTTGCCCGTCAGTGGTGGCCGGGGTTCCTCCAATGTCCCCCAAACAGCTTCTCTAATCGTTTGTTTTGACAGGCAGAAATCTAAGTGTCGATTGAAAGTCGAATTGTCGGGCTGCTGCGGGTCCATGCAAATCGGACACTCCCACATTTCCAAAGTTGGATCCGACTTGAATAGTGGGTTCAAAGTATGACTCCCTGCAATGGATCCATATGGTACATGCGAATGTTCCCAGTCCTCTATCATGGAATCTGGATCCCGGGGTTGATCGTGGATATCTTGACCATCTAGTATTCCCAACCCTTCTTCCTCGGGGCTCTTGATACGGGAACTGGATTGAGGCCGCCCGTTACTAGTTTGGATACCACGAAAAAAGTTAACATCTGTGTTTTTCATGCTGACCAGGTTTGTACATCGTAGACCCATTAACCGGATTTTCAAATTTGGCGTCTCCTTGTAAAGTTTGACCAACATTGGAAGCGCATAACGATAGAGGTCTTCCGATAAATAAACCGCTTTCGGTAACAGCATTTGGCGAGATAATACTTCAAAAGTATGAAGCTTCACTTTCAGGACCAAAGTCCGGCCCTTAAACTGGGTACGAAGCATGTCTTTCTCCAGTTCAAGGGCTGTCAGCTGAAGTTTTTCTTGTAAATCTGCCACATTCCCAGTGTCTCTAAATGTACGTTCGGTGCCGACACTCTTTCTTTCAGATTCTTCGATTGGCTGTATTTTAGTCCTTCCCAGTCCGAGGTAGCATTGCATTAGGAATCTATAACATTTTTCTCCAAACAACGGTAAAATAAGTCCACGGTGTGTGAATATGTCGCGGCAATACTTTATGCCAATGGCGTCTAGTTCCCTTTCGAAAACACGACCTACACCATTGATATTGCGTAGTGGTATGGCGGACATGAACTTCATAATCGCTGAACGCTCGTTAGGTACATAGTGTTGACCATTTGGTTTGTTCCAATTCGAGCAGATTTTGGCTAACCGCGCATTAGGTGCAATACCGCCGGAAATTGACACCTTTGTCTTTTCGACAACTTCACTACGTAGCCTGCGAACAGCCTCCTCTGGCTCAATCTCGTTGGCCGAGCAGTAAGCGGTGATATTCAGATACGCTTCATCGAGGCTGGAGCTCTGGAATTGTGGGTCGTAGCATGCCAGTATGGCTCGGATTTCGTCAGCCTTGGCAGTATATTTTTGATAATTTTGCGGAATTAGGATGAGATCTGGGCACAGCTTTTTGGCGATAAAACCCGCCATGCCACTTCGACAGCCATACTTTCTAGCATGGTAGTTACATGTTGTGAGGACTCCTTTTCCCACAGCCATGGGTAACTCGCGTAGTTCAGGTCGGTCAAGCTCCTCGACAGCCGCAAAAAATGCGTCGCAGTCGATATGAACAACGGTCTGCGATAGGTCGCGCCCCAGCTCGAGCTCAGCCAGATATTGGTCTGTCCGGCGTGTATGAAGTAAAAGGCCGTGCTCTTCTATTTTCTGCTTCTGGGAAATAATCCGTTCGATTTTGGTGGTTAATAGCTGGTTGCGAGACTTCTCATGAGTAAAGAATTTGGAGCCCCTGGAGACGTTGTATATGATTTCGGATACCTGTGGCGCGCGACGAGTGTTCAATATTCCATTCCAATAAAGGAATCTATGCGTAAGCCATCCCCTAGAGAGCCTACCTTTCGTTGGTCAACAGCACTCTGACCCGCCTTGGTCAGGGAGGGCCCAAGGAGACGGTATTTGAGTGTTTCGTCTGTTTCCTCTGTTTCTGTAGCCTGGGCATCATCACCTGCACCGCTATTCTCGGAAGATGCCATTCTCTTTTTTTCGTTTTATGAAACCTATACCAATTATCTACCCATACACATGCCACACACCTCTAATGAAGCGATAGCAATCCTCTGGGTGTCCAAAATTCCTTTGATGCCGTTCAAGCAGCATTCTCGTACTCCTCCGTTGGACAGATTACTTGGGTAGCAACACGCTAAATATGCTGGGCACGTGGTCACGTGCATTCGCGTCTCTCGTAGCTGGAATTAATAATCAACAAAACGACGTAGCAGCTTTTCAACATTTGAAGCGGATTCCTGTCATCACTGTCATCAGGACACTGCGACCTGTTGGAAATGTGGATATTGTCGTCTGATGGTGATTTCCTTCTCGGTAATCCTTTAGCTTCCATCTCACTATGTACATGTAACATGTACAATTCTTTGTCTTGATCTTGCTAACCCTTCTGGTGCGAAGGCAAACGAGTATGGCTGAAGCCTGGGAAGAAGTATCTGTTTGGCCGAGTGAAAAGGAACGGAGGTAAGAATTGATTTCTCCTCGTCGCCTGATAGAGTCGTGCGTTATACTGCCTTGCTGCCTCCGTATTGTACCCTATGCTCACTTCCCAGTGTGCCATGCAATCAACAACACAACCATCTCTCGACAGCATTTGGTTATCGAAGTTGGCCAAGTAAAGCCAGGGGCAGGAGTATGTTTCCTTTACATATTTACACCCGTCTAAATATGCCTATAAGGTACCAAACATTGTGTCTACTGCAACTAACACTCAACGAAGTTGCAAATCCACTCGAAATCGCGGCTCATCGTTACCGACCTAAAGACGAAATGTGGGACAATAGTCGACGGAGAATCGATCCAGGGCTCGAGCAAGGAGCTTAACAAGGACGATCATGTAATCCAGATTGGGAAATATCCGCACGTTCTAAGGTATATATCGCTCGGAACCTATCTTTACAAGGGTGGACGCTCACGGAAGCATTTGACAGGATTAAGTGGCACCCTGTCGTTCTGACCTTCTCGTTTCCGTCCAAGGCGAAGGATCCACTCAAGGAAGTTCTCTGTCGCCTCGAAGGCCTTGATATTAAAACAATCATCCCCTACGTGGTCGATAAGACCACCCACGTTGTTCAAACCAGACGCAATACCGCGAAAGGGCTTCAGGCGTTGATTAATGGAAGATACATCGTTCAAAAATCCTACATTGAGGCCATTGTATACGCCACCACCCCAGGAGACCTCGGGAGTGAAGAGGCTATTTGTCCTCTAGAGGAAGATTTTGATGCTGCCTGGCCAGATCCGACACAATACCTACCGCCGAAGGGCAGGGAACCTACCCAGAGGCCAGACGCGGCATATGAACCAAACCCGAATAGAATCAACGTATTCGAGGGATATACATTTATCTTCTGCGATGCTAATAGATTCGAGGATTTACAGGGACCAATTACAAACGGCCATGGAAAAGCTTTGCTATACGATATGGAGCGGGGGAGAACCACCGCAGATGATGTAGTGAGTTACATGGAACAAGTTGCGGGGAATAAGGGGCTGGGGAATTTCGACGGAAGTGGAGGCGTTGGTCTCGTGCAGTTTCGGAAAGCAGACGAACACTATGATTGGGATGGAGAAACGGAGAACCGCGTCGCTGGGATAACAGGCCAGAAGGTTGTTGAAACAAGCGGATTTTTAGATGCCATACTTGGTAATGACGCATCTTCGCTTCTCCGACCTCACCCAAAGGATAATCCTCTACGTCAATCGGAACGACTCGACGAACAAGCGCCGGTAAATGAGGATGAGCCCGTCCCAATGGATGTTAGCGACACGCAGGCTGCTAGCCACCCACCAAAAAGATCCCGTACACGGACATTTGTCAGCAAGTTCAAAACATTCGATGACGGGTTTGACATGGATTCTATTCCGGTGTATACTTTGGAGCAGGGTGATGGATCAGAACAAGCCTCTCAAGTGCGCGTGTTTCCCAATTTAATTGTTTATTAAGTGGCCATTAACGCTTCCTAGGCAATGATTACGGAGTCGTTACCGGACCAATCTCAGACAGGTCTCTCGGTGTCCGAGGGCGAGGATATGGTCTCAGAACTCCTCCCGGGCGCTGCTGCGATGAAAGTACACCTTGCTGGAAGTCGGAAACGAATAAAATCGACTCCTGCGCTTGAAAGCTCGCAAAAGCCCAAGAAAGCGAAACTGAATGTAATGGAGGCCGCCCGGCAACGTCGTAAGGCTGTTGATGAAGCAGCGATGCAGCGGCGGGAACAAGAAGTTGCGTCCTTCCGTGCGATGACCGAAAGCGTGGATATCGGACGATTGCGGAACCTTGCGATTGTTGAAGAGATGGTGGTGCCAGTCATGTCTCGCGAACAAATAGACCCGGCCGATAGTGTTCGATACGATCAGCGCTGGAATGGCCGAAAGAACTTCAAAAAATTCCGCCGAAAGGGACATGGCTGTTCAATCCCTCGCACGGTTCAGCCTGTGATCGTGCCCCTGGAAGAGGTTAAGAGGAAGGACTTTGGTCTTGGGGGGGCATACTGGAGTACGAGCCAACCCAGGGCCCGACATCATACTACGATTGGAAGGAATGAGGAAACTCCGAGCCCTTCACGGCGCATTATTACCCAAAGCAAGTCATCCACTCGGCCTGCAAGCATTGGTAAGCGGCCCCGAGATACTCGAGATGCAAGGGAGTCTGATAGTGAAGATTGTGTGAGATTCCGCTTCCGACGAAGGAAGGGAAGATGATATATCCTTGAGGCGGGATTTCAAACCAAAATTCGAATGATCGGAATGCACAGCTATTTGAAATCGAAAAGTCGGAAACCATGTCTTGTCGCTGTTCGTAGAGTGCCGTTTTTTTGTTGTAAACCAGGTCTTTCCTGTATCTTAGCTTCCAACTATAGATATAGTAGTAACGTAAGCATGCACTCACAACTCAGTTGATGCCCGCTCTGATCATGTTAATCTTAATACTGGCTTCCATTGTCTTGAGACAGTCACGAAAATTGATTTTTATTAAAGAAGGCTGAAATATGCTTTAACAGTGACTTGAAATCAAACTTTCTCTCTCTTTAAAAAGCATCTGCTTTATTGTGATGAATGTGTTTATGTAGAATAGTTGAACATTGTATTGGCAGAGCTATTTACAAAGAATCTAATAGTGGTTGATCACATGATCTAGAGAGATTGTGTGGGATGGTTAATCCTTATCTCAGTAAACTCAGCCACTCCACTCCGAGCTAACTCAATCCGAACTACTGCTACTTTCTGCCAAGTCCTGCTAACATCTGAGCCAATCAACTGTCACAGAGCTTACACTAAACCTAAATGAGACATCCCCAGCAAACTCTTCACAGAGTGTCTGAGAAAAAACAGTTTCTATTTATTAGTAACACAGAAATAATTTACTTTAATTATAATATTTAAGATAGAATCACTGTATAATATCACTTATAGATCATTTCTCTATTATCTTGAAGAATTAATTTTTCAATTTTCTGTTGATTGATGTAATTTTTATCTGAAAATACATATATTCTGAGTATAAAGTGTCATATTGAAAACTGCTACTATGATTTTGAACATAGAAATGATTTACTAATTTTTCAATCATAATTATATCTAGTTATTCAATATCTTAATCTTACTATTAAAACATCTATTTAGCTATCAGAGACTATAGTCAAAGCACTGAGTATATTTTTCAGTACTTTTAATAACTTCTGATAACTTCTAATCTCTTAGTAATCTTATATAGTATATTAACTTATGACAACTTCTGATAACTTCTGAGATCTTTTAACAACTTCTGAATCAATCATATAATACTTCTTTTTAACAGATGAGTTATTTTTTGACAGCTGAGTCAGACAACATTTCATCAACTGCATTAAATATGATTAAGAGAGATTAAAGAAAATATGTAAGTCAGCTACAACAGTGGCTTTAAAAGTCATTATTAAAGCAAATACTTTCAATGAATATTAAAGATATGCTATAACTTATTATAAGCTATGTCAGATTAGATAGTATTGATAAGCAACAGAATGTTATTCAGTATTATCTTTAATAAATACTTCAAGACCTGTGTTCAGATTCTGAGTATACTCTTCAGTAGACTGGTCACTGAGACTAGACTGACCGTGTGACCGTGTCTGAGACCAGGACCAGAATTTTTGATAGTTTCATTACTAATTTAATAGATCTCATTACATGATTCTAACATTAGATAGTAGTTCTATACTGTTTCAGTGAGACTTAGTGTCTACTCTTATCACATTTTTCAAATGAGATCATGATTTTCACTTCTCAATGTAAATTATTTTTATTACTTTAAATGACTTTAAATCTCATTTGAGCATTATCAAAAAGCATTACTTTTTAAAAAATTAAAAATAGTCTAAAAAAAACCTTAAAATGTCTAAAAATAGTAACTTTATGCCAAGAATGAAACTAAATGAGATCAAATGAGATCACTTTCTCATTTTTTTCAAGTCATGATTTCATTTTGAGATCTGATATATAGTCACTTTGCATGTTTATTTAATGATTAGTCTCAGTGGGATTCATGTCAAGAAATGTATGAAATCAGATCAAATGAGACTAAACATGAAATTCATGATTCTGATAGTCAGTCTAACTGAGATCATGAATGTCATATTTAATCTCATTTGATCTGATCTTATACATTTCTTGACATGAATTTCACTGAGACTAATCATTAAATTAACATGCAAAGTGACTATATATTAGATCTTAAAATGAAATCATGACTTGAAAAAAATAAGAAAGTAATCTCATTTAATTTCATTTAGTCTCATTCTTCACATAAAGTTACTATTTTTAGACATTTTAAGGTTTTTTTTAGACTATTTTTAATTTTTTAAAAAGTAACACTTTTTGATAACACTTAAATAAGATTTAAAGTCATTTAAAATAATAAAAATAATTTAAATTAAGAAGTGAAAATCATAATCTCATTTGAAAAATGTGATAAGAGTAGATAGTAAGTCTCACTGAGACAGTATAAGACTACTATCTAATATTAGAACCATGTAATGAGATCTGTCAAATTGATAATAAGACTATCAAAAATTCTGGTTCTGATCTCAGACACAGTCACACGGTCAGTCTACTCTTCAGTCATGCATAGAATAACTCTGTATACTTCAGTGTATGATATATGAATATAGCAACACTTTATTCATTGCTAGAACTGACTATTAAAAGAGTCTTATTCTTCAATTCTATACAATTCTGACAGGAAAGATAATCATTCAACTGATTCCTCTAGCCCCGGTGGCCGAATGGTTAATGCGGCCACCCGGTAGCGTCTTGGCGTGGGAAACCAAGGTGTGTGAGTTCGAAACCCGCAGGGGATACATTAAATCCGGAACTCAAGCACCTCAGGTTTCTAATAAATACAGAGGTGTACAAATCACTTCAATAAAATCGCTCTATGTTCCTGGGCTGGGAAGTTATTATCGCATGTATCTAATTGTCACTCCTTTGTATTTCCTATGTTCTTGTTATCTTGATGTGATCTCAACACCTGTATTTCCTCCTGTATAATCAACACTTGACCTGTATTTAACATCATGCAAGGACTCATCATAAGCTCCGCTTGCATATAAGTATAATGATAGAATAATAATAATAATAATAACTGATTCCTCTAAACAAGTTCGAGTTTTTCAAGAAATAAGAGTGATATATAATACTTATAATAACAAACAGCTGTTTGATAGCTGTTGTTTCATCTGAGTCTCATTCATAGCTCTTTTAATTAACGCATTTATTTTTTAGAACAGAAGTAAGTAGGTTAAACCAGATTGATGTGTCAGTCTGAATAATCTCAAAAGCAGTCTGAAAGTCAATGATATTCAGATCAGAATCATGATTGAATTTTACAAAAAAGAGAGTGTTGATAAGACATTTCAGCTTCTGTTTAAACAAGATAGTATAACATTGATTATCATTGAATATCCCTGCTTTGAAAAGTACTGAATATAGTGTATTTCACTGCTTTGTAGAAGTACTGTATTATTAATGACTTAAGATATCAGAACTCTGAATTCAAGTCTCTATAAAGATCTTCATTTCTCAACTATTTTACTATAATATTCTGACAATGTGAGATAATTTCAACTGTCTTTTCTGCCAGTTATAAGGCATTGTAGACAGGTGCTGTGAGTCATAATGATTTGATTGTAAACAAGCTTACAGAGTATCAGTATCAGTATCAGTGATCTTGAATTCTGAAGAAATATTAATAGATTTAAGCTCTGTTAAGTTACTGTCTGATGTGTCATATTCATCATCTACATTGTTAAGAGACTATAGTGATTGTAGAGAGAATTCAACTTCAAGTGATAAAGAATATTGACTGAAGTGTGTCTGATATTGAGTGTCTTGAGATTCAAAAGACACACTGTCTTTTATCAATAATTATGATATGATGAGAAGAGATAGTAAGTTATAAAATAGCAGAGATAATAGCAGAATAACTGAGGATTTGAAAAATATCAGTTTGATAATGATCAGACAGATATTTAGAGTAGATATATAATTTCAAAGTCAATTGAATATTTTATATGAGTGAAGTTGATTTTTCATATATGATGAAACTGTTTCTTCTCAGACTCTCTATGAGATATTAGATTGTGAGCACATGTGAAGTCTCTTATTAATCCAGAAGTTAGCAGAACTTGGCAGAAGTCTAAAGAAGTTTAGTTGATCGTGCTAATTCAAAAATATCGAGAAGAGAGACTGAGTATGCTGAGATAAGATTAATTCATTGTATTCGTGTAGAAAGAGCTAGCTATATATATATTACATATGAGATCATGTGTAGGCGGAGCAGTCGCTACGGCAATGCTACTAGGGCGGATGCTACACTCTCTCTCGCATTGCCATGTGAGATTATAAACATTATAATAAAGAATCAATCATCTCTTGCAAATCTAGCTATGTCATTCTCAAATTCATTCAAATTATGCTATCTGTATTGAGTTTGTGTATTCTGTCTCTCTTCATCTGTAAAACCTAGTAAATCAAGGAATTGATGAAATGTAATTATATTCAAGAGTTTAGTCAATTCATCTACTATCATTTCTTCAGTTGAAATGTAATCAATTGAGATTATTGTAAGAAATCCTGCTTCTCACGAATTCTTTACCTCTATTTCTATCTCTTGTGTAATCAATAGGGCTAGCAGCCCTTGGCTACACACAACTATATAGACTGGAGTTCGCGAATACTATTTATAACTCAGCTTGAATACTATTATATATTTGATCTCTACATTTTATCTTTCTACTGTGAATACTTCTAGTAGTTAACAGTATATATCACATCAAGCTGCAAACACCTGAATAATCATCTGTAAGCATTTATTCTTACATTTCAAGCTCAGTCAGTCAGTAACTGTCTGTTATAACTGAAAGAACTAGAAACTTACATGCTTCAATTCCTGTAAACTCTACTGCAGACACTCAGAAGCAGTCACTCAAATCATGAATAACTCTTATAAAAGAAGTCTTAGAGAACTTATCAATAACTCACAGAACATCATTCTCTGCATCTGTGACAGAGAAATTCTTCAAATTCATGAATAAATCAATCTCAGTGAAGAACATTCTTAAGTATCTTGTATAAAATCAAGCTATTTTTCTATAAGAAATGCTTACTGTCTGTAAACACTCTCAAACTGAGTCTCTAGACATGATCTTCAAAAATATCTATGAACTGAAAAGAAACTTTCTTAAGTTATAATCACTTAAGGTCACTTATTGAATCACAATCTATAAAAGCTTTTATAAGTTTGTATTTAAAATTGACTTACAATCTATAAAAGCTTTTATAAGTTTGTATTTAAAATTGACTTACAAGCTCAGCTGTGTGATATAAAAGATGAAGAAGCTGTTATCTATATAATAACAGATCTCTATTACACTGAAGTCAAGAACTGATTGAATTATCTAGAGAATGATTATAAGAGATTCTACTAATCTGTTCTCAAGATCTATCTAGAGAATAAGTTAAGAGACTTTATAAACTGAACAGAGAACACCTGAGCTGTAATCATTAATATTAGAAAAAGAGATAAGAAATCTGATAAAGACTACTCATAGTGCTTCATGAAATTGTGATGTGAATTGAGATCTGTGAAAACAGAGCTCTGAAACAAGACCTGAATAATGATGTTTATAAAGAGACTGAATAAAGACATATAGAATAAGCTTATTAAATAAGACTTTAAACTCTTAACTCTGAAGAAACTGATAACTCTTATTCACTGCTTACAGATTACTGTGAGAGTCATAGATCTGTGAAGAGTGAATCACTGATCAGCTCTGTAAGAGCTAGAACAACAGAGAACAGATTTGTCAGAAAAAGATAACAAGATACAGAGAGATTCATGTCTGACTGCTGAGTAGAGAGAAAGAGTCTCATAAGCTTCTGTAAACAGAGTGTATAATAGAAAGATCAAGGAAAAGAAACTCTGCTTCAT